CATACATACATACATACATACATACATACATACATACATACATACATGCATGCATGCATGCATGCATGCATACATACATACATACATACATACATGCATGCATGCATGCATGCATGCATGCATGCATGCATGCATACATACAATTTTCATTCAACCTTTTTTTAGACAGGTAAATCCCATTGAGCCTCGAGGACTCATTTACAAGAGAGACCTGACCCATCCATTAACTTTATCCACTTCTTCCTTTTCGGGCTGTGGGTGGTCACTGGTGCCCATATCCAGTAATCACTGTGCAAGAGACGGGGGACACCCTGGACAGGTCTCCAGTCTATCACAGGGACACAGAGACAAACAACCATTCACTCTCTCTCACCTAGTGACAATTCAGAGTTACCAATCAGTCTAACATGCATGTTTTTTTGTCTGTGGGAGGAAACTGGAGTACCTGGAGAAAATCCACGCATGCACGAAGAGAACATGCAAACTCCACCCAGAAAGGCCCCGGACCGGGATTAGATCCGGCAGCCTTATGACTGAGAGGCTACAGTTGAACCACCCGTCAAAGTATCCCTTTAAGAAAATTGTTTTCTATACTGTTCAAATTTACCTACACCCAGAAACAAATGACAAACCTGACATGACACCCAACAGAAAAGAAAACCACAACAATGTTTCTAACGCGTAAACCCCCTCTAGTGGGTGTTTTCAGACAAAGGCCTTCCTGCTGTGAGGATAACTTGGGGTCAAGTGTGTAAACCCATCAGACAAATCAATCCAGCTGGTCGCATGAGATGTCACACAGCATCCAGCAGCTGCCTGAACGCTGCATCTGAAGCTGGACATAAACATGGAAAGCTGTTCACATCCTGTGTTTCTGCTCCAGAATGCAAGCCCATGGCATTTCATAACCCAGAGGAGTAAACACACACCCTGTTGTTTAGCCAATTACATGCAAACAGTGCAAATGCACACTGAAAGGAAAAGGCTGCTCAGTATAATCCACACAAACACCAGTTAAACTTATCAGTGTCACGTTATTGTTTGTCTGCGACCCAAGCCTAAAGGTCACCGTGGACCATGGCGTAAACATCAGCAGCCCAAAGTGCTTTGGTTTTATAGCTGCTTGCAGTTGTTAACACTAAAGTGTTGATAGTGTGTAATTGTGATGACGTGGCCTACAAAAATCTGGAGCCGTTTGTGTGAAAAACACTGTAAAAACCTCCATAAAACCAGGAAGAGTAACACAGTATGAGTCGACCATGGTTTTATTACTCTAAATGAGGCTTGATATGACATTAGTCAGTATTTTTATGAATCTCCTTACCGAAAAAGACAGAGTATGATGATGGCAACTATCAGAGAAATGAGCGACACACTGTGACCGACGGTGTAACCAACTTTGATGGCGCCGAAGAATTCCCCCTGTAGGAACATATTCTGTTAAACAAAACTGATTCAGCTCTTTAGACCGAGTTCAACGTTTCACATGAAACCACATGAGCACTGACTGAATTTTCCTCCATGGTGCTGTTGGGATTGTAACCACAGTCCAGTATGTATGAGTCCATACTGATGGGGGTCCAGCCGTCGGCGGTGCAGGTCTTTGACAGATTACCTGATGGGCAGACAGAGACAAGACTTTGTATTGGCAGTGACACAGCTAAACTTTGTGGATTCAGTTTTTGATGTGATAATTCAGTTTTAATATGATAACGCAGGGTGACCTGTTGCATTGTTAGTATAAAAAGTGTAACAAAGGAGCACAGGTCCTGTCCAGGTCTCCACTTAATTAGCCAACTAACAGTTTTAAAGGAAGCACAGATTTACTTTTGTCTTCTTGTTTGAGCAGAAGTTATCTGCAAAGAAAATTGTGCAAAAGTTTGTATCAAAACAGACCCACATGTAGAAAACTGCTGCTAAGAATTTTAAACCTGAAACAATCAGTGGTGCCACATCTGATGCCCTCCTGACCAAACATGCCCTACATGCATAATCAGTCTGTCAGCAAAATATCTCACAAACCATCGTGTACAGGTTCTATTAAAATTCTCATAAAGTAAATATTAGATGTTCATCTACATCTGGTTAACGTTTGGGAGCAGCCTGATTCAAGATGGCTGCCACAACTAGTCAATATTTGTGAACACAAAAATGCTACAACTCAGTCATTTTTATAGATATTGAGCTAACATCTGGTGTAGTAGATGAGGGTCGGCCCCATTATTTTTTCTGAGAGCTAAGAGATCTCACAGGATCTTTGTTCAAAACTTTGCTACACAAAGCTGTTAGATATATGCAGAACTGATAGTTTTATTTTTAAATAAATTCAGGAAAGGAGAGGACGAGCTTAATGAGCTTAGTGGTGACTAAGCTGCACTCATCACAAGAATAAAGTGAAACAAGTGGTACCCTGATGTCCCCCGTCTCCGAGGGATTGGAAAAGTGAATGCTTGTAGTTTTTTAAATAAATGTTTTTCTGGACTGGATAAATTTGTTTTTTTCTTTATGTCCAAGACTGCGCAGAGTGGAGGGAGAAATTTTCTCCATCAGCAAGAACAATGGAGGAGCCAGGGTGTAGCCAGTGGTGGTCTTGGTCCCAATGGTGTCAAGCATTTGTAATGTATGTGTGTGTGTGTGGGGGGGGTGGCTCAGTGGTTAGAGCAGTCGTCCTTCAATGCAAGAGTTGGGGGTTCGAATCCACCAGCAGTCACATGCTGAAGTGTCCCTGGGCAAGACACTGAACCCCTCATTGCCTCTGATGTGTGTCCCATCGGTGTATGAATGTGATATAAAGCACTTCATGAAAACAAAATTTCCTGAGTTTTCCCTGTCTGGATAAGGTGAAAATCATTTTCCAGGTTTTCCCTGATTTCCAGAGTCGATGGAAACTCTTCCGTTTATAACACAAATGTCACTGGAATCCATCCAAAATTAAAATTGAAAGGAGGTGATGGCCAGCTGTCCATCTTACTCTAAGATGCTGAGACAGTCCATAAGTGAACCTGCCTCCATCTGTTAGAAGTCTCTCTGGCCCTCCTGTAAGAGCAGGAGTGACCGTTCAGAGAGCAAAAGTCCAAGGACTACAGGAGAAGAAAGTTTATTAAAGAGGCAAATCTCTGCAGAACCACAAACACAAGAATCTGACAGATGACAAAGCAGAGATGCAAAAGATGAAAAGAAAAGATACTCAGCAGCAGAGAAGCACCCACAAGTTCTGCTGCACATTTGTCTTCTATTTATAACTTCTGCTCCGTTGTGCTTTTCAGACTTATATCGTTAGTTATCGATATTTAAAACCCAAACTCAGATCATTTGTTCCACACTAAGGAGATAACTAAACTTAGGTTGTCTATATTATATAAAAATCTATTTGGATTGTCCAGTGTGTGACACTGACATGGCTGTGTAGGCTAACATACAGTATGTTGTTGCAGAGTTATTATGTTTCTCTAAAACCCTCATGTACAGCTGGTAACTGAGCCAGATGTTATAGGGTTAACGTTACAAAGAACCCAGCCAGATAAGTGGTTTCATTCTGTTACTTGTCCAGCAATGTTTTTCAGAGCAGCTCCAGCGCTTTTGCAGAAGTGGCTTGTGGCAGTATGTAAACACAGCACTAACATGTAAAACATATGTCAAAGTGTCTGCAGTCACCACTGACAACTGTGTAGTGTTTCAGCAGCTGGTGAGCTTGAAGTAGAAGCACAACTTGTGTCTACCTCTGTTTTTTTTTAAACACCGTGAACCTGTGGATCGGACACGACGTCTCGGAGCCAGCACGCTGCTGTGAGAATCAAAGCAGAACCTTTCTATGTTGGTTCTAACAAGGATGAGTCAGGTTCTCTGGACTCATTCTTTTTGTTGAAACATTTCGTCTTTTATCCAAAAGACTTCTTGAGTCTGAGGCGCTGCAACAAACTCAGTCTTATAAGAGGCACCTTCTCATGGTAGATCAACCAGTTTGCTGCTGACATCCAGAACTAGCTGTTCACATGTAAAAAGGAGGACCATCAGGCTAACAATTGTTGTTAGTGCCATGCAGGCTGCTTGCTATTCACAGAGGGCTGAGTGATTCTAGCAATAAAAAGCATTGTAAGAGGAGAACAGTGAAACACGGAGGCCTCTACCTCTATTTAATGATGGGCGGTTTCTTTTCACAATGATGTCCTCCTTTACTCCTCTCAAACCACCTCTGTCCCTCAGATTTTCATCACATTAATGATTTGTCATGTCTGCTGTTTTGCTTCTGTCTCTTCATGAGACAGAGACATATTAAAGTTAGGCCAGCTCCAACCACCCTTGCTGCCTCGGTCCATGAAGAAACCTTACAGAAGGTGCCTGACCTGAGCTGTGTTATGAACGAACCGTTACACATGTGTGACATTAACCATAAACAATAGAAACTGAGGACGCCATTGTTGTTGTGTGTGTGTGCATTTAAAAAATCGCTAGAAACATTTAAAATAAGAGTTCTGCATGTGGCATATTCTATGCCTGTCAACAAACTATTACATGGCAATGTACAGCAATGGCCCAAACAAGCAAAGGCTTGTATAACCTTTGACCTTGATTTGTGACCTTGACCAGCTGGGGTGATGAAAATATTGTGACACGCAGTCCTGTGGTGGAACAAATGTGTATCAAGTTTTATTAAATTAACTTGACGGATTAGCAGTTATGGTCCAGACAAGTCAAGACCTTGTCCGAATGTTGACCTTGATTTGAGACCTTGACCTTGGAGCTGATGTGATGAATAGTGTACGTTACACTCCATCTATATGTATCTGGGGGCGGCTGTGGCCGAGTGATTAGAGCAATCATCCTCCAGTGCAAAAGTTGGGGGTTCAATTCCACCAGCAGTCACATGCTGAAGTGTCCCTGGGCAAGACATTGAACCCCTCACTGCCTCCGATGTGTGTCCCATCACTGTATGAATGTGATCTAAAGTTCTGATTATTCTTTGTAGAGGTATAGTAGAGTGCTGTATGAATGGTTAAAAGAGGGAACAGCTTTGAGTGTCTTGATAAGATAGAAAGACGCTATATAAGTACAGTTAATTTACCATTTATCTAGTGATGATGCATGTGAGTATGAAGTTTTATTAAATTATCTTGAGTGGATGAGAAGTTATGAGTGGGACAAGAGAAGGCTTACGTACAGAGACTACCATGATACGTCCGTCGTTGACTGGTGTAAAAAGAGTCATCAGAACCGAGCATCGTGAAACAGATCTGTCAGTTTTGTGGAGAGAACTTTACAGTAAACACCAGCTACAATTCAGTAACTTCTACTTTAGCAAGTCTTTTTTTCGTGCATGAATAAAAAATTCAACACTAGCATGCTCGGCCATTCGATGCACGCTCATGTATGGAGTTATTACGTCCCTCATGTTCCCATTAGGCTGAGAAAACACTCTGAAAATGGAGGTAAAAATACTCAAAAAGTAGTTTTAAGGACTCTAAATAGCCAAAGTTTTGGCAGATTATGAACAAAAATTAGGGGGACCGCCTTAAAGGGTCATAAAGACGGTGAAAAGGTCTGCTGTGGGTTGAAAACACCTTTAACTGTGTTTGTCTTCACTGCACCGAACATGTGAAAAGATTATTTCCTGTCAGATTAACCAGATTAACAACTGCAGCAGTGTTTTAAGGAAGAGTCAAGACAGAATCTGAGAGTAAAGCTTGAACTGTGGCTGAGTTCAGGTGAGCAACATGAAGCTACTGTGTGTTGATGTTTGGAGCTTAACTCTAAGACACGTATAAAGCAAGCGATACACAGATTTACCCAATTTTAACAGTGAATGTTTGTAGTTTTCTACATGAGTGTTTTTCTGGACTGGAATTGAACAGGGAATGTCACCTTAATGGTTTTAGTGTACAGTGTAAATTATTCAAGAGGGCAGGAGTTACACTGTAGAGAAAGAGGATTTTTTTTGTTTTCTTGTCCGAGGCAGCACAGAGTGGCGTATCTTGGTGAGTGGAGGGAAACATTTTATCCACCACCAGGTGCAGTGGTGGAGCCAGGGGGTGGACAATGGTGGCCTTGGCCCTCATAAATTAATCTCCAGCCATCCAGATCATTTGAGGAAACTATACTTTATATAAAAATAAAAACTAGAAAGCACAGTTTCCTCAAATGATTGGGGTAGTCAGTTTACATATATATGGGGGAGGCCATCTTGGATTTTGATGTGGCAACCCAGTTTGTGATGGTAACCTTTCTTACGCCTAGATGCAGTCACACACCAAAATGGAAGTCGGTACCTCATATATTTTTTAAGTTTGCACGCTCACACCACAGACAAACAGACGGGTGGACAGAGGGTATTTCCAATTGCCCCTCTTTGCTTCACAATGGGGGACAAAAAGGGAATCCAACATTAACAGCCATAAAACAACATCGCTCCTTTGGATAATTTAATTATCCAAATGATGATATCCAGATGACCACAGTTTAAACAAAAGCTTGGATTACCTGGTAAAACAGTAACAGAATAGTAGTCCTCATTTATCGTTGGGGATCCATACTCTGAAGCCAGGGCTTAATTTGTAAACTGATAGATCCCAAAACAAAAATAGCGGGCAGTCTGGTGGTGGGGGTTCGGTCGGTGGGTGG